TGTTCAACCTTTTTTCGTCACAAGATCGCACTTTTTCTGCACCCCTTTTGACTTCACCACCCCAGTCTCCCTACTCCGATGATCAACTGAGCAAGCGAGCAAACGTCACTGCACCGTGCTATGAGCTGCAGCAGCAGGCACAAGACCACGTGGCTGGCTTGCAGGCACACGTGCGCGCGAGCACAGTGCGCTGTGCGCACTTCTACTTGCCTGCAGGCACGCAGCGCTGAAGCAAGAAGGAGCAAAGCAGAGGAACTGAGGAGTAGAGAAGCAAGGATGGATTCCTTTCCATGTGATTGCACAAGAGACAAGCAAGCAGGCAGAGAACGACGAGGAGCAGCGCAAGGGACACGTGTGCACATGTGTGTACATGCGTTTGTGTGTAGATGTTGCCTGCAGGCACGAGAACGTGTTTCTGATTAAAGTGGATTGGATGAGTAGCAATCCTCTGCTCACTGCAGACACACTTGCATGCGATTGTGCAGTGCTGCTGCGTTGCTTACAAGCATTGGCAGCTTCTTCTACTTGCATTGGATTCACTGCACGACGATCCCTCTGCTCACTGCAGACACACTTGCATGCGATTGTGCAGTCCTGCTATGTTGCTCGCGAGCATTGGTTAGTTCTCCTAATTTAAATGGATTCGATGAGTAGCAATCCTCTGCTCACTTCAGACACACTTGCATGCGATTGTGCAGTGTTACTGTGTTGCTCGCAAGCATTGGTAGCTTCTCCTGCATTGATTGAATTCACTGCACAACGATCCCTGTACTCACTGTTGTGTTACTCGCAGGCACTCACAACATCTCCTACTTGCATTGGATTCACTTCACCACATCCGTCTACTCACTCGCAGGCACTCACAACTTCTCCTGCTTGCATTGGATTCACTCCATTCCATCCGTCTACTCACTCGCAACTTCTCCTGCTTGCATTGGATCCACTCCACGACATCCGTCTACTCACTCGCAAACACTCACAACTTCTCCTGCTTCGATTGGATTCACTCCACTGCATCCGTCTACTCACTGTTGTGTTACCTGCAAGCACTCACAACATCCCCTGCTTGCATTGAATTCACTCCACGACATCCGTCTACTCACTCGCAAACACTCACAACATCTCCCACTTGCATTGGATTCACTCCACCACATCCGTCTGCAAGCACTCACAACACCTCCTGCTTCCATTGGATTCACTCCACTACACCCCTCTACTCACTCGCAAGCACTCACAACATCTCCTGCTTGCATTGGATTCACTCTACAACATCTGTCAACTCACTGCTGTGTTACTCGCAGGCACTCACAACATCTCCTGCTTGCATTGGATTCACTCCACTCCATCCGTCTACTCACTGTTGTGTTACTTGCAAACACTCACAACTTCTCCTGCTTGTTTGGATTCACTCCACTACGTCCGTCTACTCGCTGCAGACGCTTCATGCGTACGCTTGCTTGCTCTGTGCGTGTTGCTTGCAAGCACCCACAACTTTCCTTGCTTCCACCTTGTTCACTTCACAACACTCCTCCACTCGCTCCCCACTGTTCCACAGCATCACCCATCATGCCTGCATGCACCTGCAACCGACCCTTTATCAATCCACACCATCACTCACACACCGCTCTGTCACTCCCTCCTCGCCACTTCACTCCACGCCACTTCACTCAGCAGCATCGCCTCGCTTCGTGGATTCACGCTCCAACATCACCTGCGCTTCCTCTCTCGCCCCCAGCAGCGATATGTTCAGGTGCGTAAGAAGCTCGCTGCAATCGCCTTCTCCTCTTCCCACTTTACCTTCTCTCTTCGCGCATGCTTGCTACTGCTTGTAATGTCTGTGCTTCTGCTTCCTTTGCTCCACCGCCACGATCACAACACAACACAACACATCCATGCATGTGCCGCTTTGTCCCTTTGTCTCACCCTTCACTCACTTGCTTCCTTCCCTCTTCCCTTTGCCTTTCCACATTCCATGTGTTGCATTGTTGCTTTGCACTTGTTGCCACATGCTTCATTCACCCTTGTCTCTCCCTCTCTTCCATCCACTCACCGCCACGCAGCACCTCTGCACACAACATCACTCATCCTTCACTTCATTTCACACAACACAACACCACAACACAACCCACCGTGTGCATTCGTGCTTCCCTTCGTCCCCTTCTGTCACCACCTTGTCACCACCAGCCTTGTTTGTCTATTTCACCTGCGTTCCAGCCCCTCCTGTCCTGTTTCAATTCTTGCCACTGCTACTGTTGTTTCCATGTGTTTGCATGCCTGGCCTTGTCCATGTTCACTACTTTGTGCCGCCACCCTTTCCCTTTCCCCTTTCCCTTACCTTTCCTGCCTCGTTCATGTTTCATGCTGCATGTGTTGCAACACATCATAAACCCATCAAGCCCACACTGCCGCCTTCTTCACCGTCAGCCCTGTTCACATCCACCACTACCACCGCCAGTCGCTGCCATCGTCACTCCCTTCATCCTTTCCCCGCACTCCCACGTTCACAGCTGCTGCTGTCCTCACCTGCATGCAACACCCACTCCACAGCCACACTCCCAGCTCACCACCAATCCAATCACATCACACACACCGTGTTTACTGCAGTGCAACCATCAACGCCCATCCACCAACACCAGCATCACACGATACACACGGCTGCACATGCGTGTTGCATTGTATGTTTCCACTTCACTTCAACAACACGACAGCAAGCAAACACACACACAGGTGGTAAGAACAAGCGAGAAAGCATCCCCATATCAACTGCAAGCAACACACACACACACACAACACACACAACAAGCGACAGCTCCATGCTGTGCCACACAGCTTCACTCCCCCATCAACCGCCATCATCACCCTCAGCCAACAACAACAACAACAGCAGCAGCAGCAGTGTGCATGCTGTGGCAAGAGAGAACAGAGAGAACGGAGAGAAAGGGAGGGGAGGAAGGATACAGGGGAGAGAGACGTGCACGCTGTCAACAACAACACAACACACATACACAATCAACACCACGCGCTCACGCTCCCCTCCTTCTCCAACGAGGTGCGTGGTCTATGGCAGCCCCACGTCTTGCTTGCTTGTCCTGTGTCCATGCTTGCTCGTGTGTCCTTGCTTGGTTGTGCGTGCCATGCCATGGGTTCCAACAAACAGCCTGCACTTCCCCTGCACAAGCGTCCATGTGCTTGTGTGTGTGCGTGTGAGGGGATGACGAAGAGGGAAGAGGGAAGGGAGCAGAAGAAGAAGAAAGGGAGAGGTGGGATGTGCGTGAGCACAGACGATGGTGATGGGCGCACACGATGTGGCTGTGATGAACACACACACACACAGACACAGCGAAGCAGCAACGCACAACAGACACAACAGACACAAACAGGGGGGAACGAGAGCAGCAGTAGCGCAACACACACACACACACACACGCACCAAGGGAAAGGACATCAGCCAGCCAGCAACATCCAACACCCCTTGCATCCACTGGTCTATCCATGCAGCACCAGTGGTGGTGGCAGAGGGAGAGAAGGAAGAGTATGCCCTGCCTGCTTGGCTGCCTGTGTGAGGATGTGTGCCTGCACACCCACTCACTCACTGTGTGTGTGTCTGTGTGTGCCTGTGTGTGTCACCATCCAAATATACACACATGTGTGTGAGACAGAGAGAAGCAACCAGCCACCACTACACAAACACACACACAGTGTGAATCACAAGCAGGCACAGCATGAACGACATGCACACAGTCACAATCACAGTCACGCACATGCAAGTGCAACGCACCGTGAGGTAGGCATCAGACTGCCTGTCAGCGTGTGCGTGTGCGTGTGTTTTCACACTCATGTGTGTGGGTCGATGCAGCCCATTATCCCTCTCTGAGCGTGTGTGAGCCAAATGCATCCACAGCAGCAGGAGTGTGTGTGAGATCACAACACCCACCACAGCCACGTCCACCTCTCCCTCCTTCACAAACACACACACACGCACTCACACAGCAGTCAAACCAATTGACAGAACTCACCCAAACTCACGGTGCCAGCGTGCCATGGGCCTTTGCAGCACATATGTCAGCCTCACCGACCGTGGGCAACGCCTTGCATGCCTTTGACCCTGCACACATCCATGGTGTGGGCGCTGCTGTGCGTGTTTTCTGCTTGCTCCTGTTCACCATCACATCATCACCCACCACACCCCACACAGTCCATGCAACCAAACGAGACCACCCACAACAGAACCGCCAGTGAGTGCCCGTCACAACGCGCACCCTCTCCCTCCTCTCCGCCAACCCTGCGCGAGCCACGCACACGAACAACGCAAGCCACCACCACCCACTCAAACACACACTCACCTTGATTCGCGTTTCGCCTGTCGCTTCGCTTGTTTGTGTGTGTTTGGTCTTGTTGGTTCGTGTTTGTGCGATTTGTGGAAGATGCCACAAATAATCGCCCACTGCTGCGTTTGTGCGGCAACTGCTGTTTGCTTTCTGCGTTTGCTTGTTGAAGGGCGGACTTGCTTGGTTGGTTGGCTTGCTTGCTTGCTTGGTTGGTTGGTTTCAATGAGACAAGGAGGAGAAGAAGGGGAAGGGGGGAACAGCACTGTGTGTGTGAATGCAACGCAGGCTCACAGGCCTTGCAGGCTGAGGAGGGAGAAGAGAAGGGAAGAAGAGAAGGGGAGAAGAAAGGGGGGATGGAAAAGAAGAAGAACCAAACACACACACACACACACACACACACACACACACACAATTGTGGACAGCATGCATCCCTCCCCTCTCCTCCCTTCTCTCCTCTTCTTCGCTTCCTCCTCCTTCTCCTCCTTCTTCTCACAGTCACAACAGACAACCAACAGCCACAAAGGGCTGGAAGAGAAAACAAACAAGGGAGGGGGCAACAGCCACCCAGCCAGGTCGCCATGGAAGCAAGAGGCGAGGCGATGGAGGGGGGGGGGAGGGGAACACCGTTCATCAACATCAACACACACAAACACACATCTGTTGGGAGCATAACGTCTTCTGTCCTTGCTTCCCCTCTTCCTTTCCTTGGCCTGGGTTGAGTTGGGTTGGTTGAGGTGGCACAGCTCGCCATGGCGTGTCATGCCTGGATGCGTGGGCATGGGTGTTGGATGTGGATGGGCTCCTCTCTCTGCGTGTGTGTGAAAAGGAAGGGTTGGAGGGAAACAGTGGAAGGGGTGGCAGCAGCAGCAGGAGAGGAGGAAGAGGGAGAAGAAGCAAGGGAAGGGGGTGGATGTGAGCATGCCATGCATGAGTGAACAACAACTACACACGAGGTGGAATGATGATGATGTACTTGGTGTTGTGCGTTGTGTGTGATGGCACAAGGACACAAAGGTCAACCCCAACCCCAACCACACACAATCACACACACCTCGTCGTCGATCAACGCATGTGCCTGGCACACGCGCACACACACACACACATCTGCAATCACACACACACATAGAGTCACACATGGCATTGCAGAGTGAGACGGTGCACCATGCACACGCATGCACAGCAATGCAACCACAACCGTCACAACCACCACAACGACAGCATCTCTCTCCCCATCTCCATCCCCCAAATGCACGGTCACATGACCAGGTGCACAGCCGTGGTGGTGATAATGGCCATGATGAACGCCTTTCTCCTCACCTCCCCTCAACCCCTTCCCCTCAACCCCCTTCCACCAAACACACACCATTGCGTGCCCTCACCTCGTGCATCGTGTCGCTGTCGGCGTGGTTGATGGCGACGCACACACACACACACGCACGCACACACGGCCGTGTGTGTTCCCAGTTGAGATGAGCAACGGAGGGAGAGAGATATGGGCGACACGACACAACGGCCAGTCAACCCCAGCCAATCCAATCCAGCATCCACCGCCGTGTGTTGCCTGCTGCAGTCATCACCACAATCACACGCACACAGGTGCAAGGAAAAGGAATGAGCCACTGATGTGTGTGTCACTGTCATGTGATACCACCACCACACGATTTCACGTGCATGTGCACGCGCACCCCCATCCCCCAACCAACATCATCGCCCTCCTATCACTTCCCTCCCTCTCCCTCCTTTCGCTCTGCACTCCCACGTCGCACCACCACTCCCACGTCGCACCACCACCTGCCGTGTTACTTCCCTGCTTCCCCCGCTTCTCACCGCTCGACACAACACAGCCCACCAACCAACCAACCATCAACGATCATCCTCACCTGTGCCTGATGCAGCCAGCCAGCCAGCGGATGGGCCACAGCGAAGCCAAACAAGGGAACCGCAACCACATGCCACGGCCACCATCGTCATCGCTGATGGAGCAGAAAGAGAAGACGAAGAGGGAAGAGTGGCGGGCACGGGCCGTGTCCTTCCTTGTCTTCATCGGCGCAGCCCCAAACACGGTGCACAGCGCGCATGCACACGCACGGCCATCATCACAGCAGCACCAGTGGCAGCAGCGAGCTACCCTGCCTGTGAGGCAAGAAGAAACCAACCAAAGACGAACAACGATGACCGGTGGTGGTGAGGACATGAAAGGAGGGACACAAGGGACCACGCATGGGAATATTGCAGCATGTTGTGGGTGGGGTGCATCACCTACACACAAGAACAACGAAGCAAGCACCCAACAAGCAGCCAAGCAAGCAAGCAAGCAGGCACACCACGATACCACCACATCCACATCCACTACAGCTGCTGCAATACCTGTGTTGGCTGTTGTCTCGATCACGCCTCAACAGCTGCACATCGCATGGGGAAGGCTGATGATGATGATGACACAGAGTAGAGGCGATTGGTTGGGAAAGGAGGAAGGGAAATCGGTTGGGGAAACCCGCACAACGTCCGCCTGCAGCCACGCACACACGCACACACACATTGAGTTGTGTGATTGATTCATGTGAGACACACGTCAGTGCAACCACCCCACAGCCAATGACTGCTTTGGTGCGTTGGCACACATGCGTACATGCACGCGTGCGTGCGTATGTGCGTGCGAATGTATCATACCACGCTATCACCACACACACACACACACACACACACTCACACACACAGCGGCAGCGTCTCACCTTGCGCCTTCTTTTCTCGCACATTCGTGTGTGCGTGTATCGCCCTGCTCGTGTCATGAGGGCCTGGGAAGAGATCGGCCACCGTCCTGTGCAAATCACACACATGTACACATGTGCAAGCACAAACAACCAAATCAGCAAGAATGACACCACGCAGTGAGCCAGCATGGCAGAAACAAACCACATCCACATCCTTGTGCCTCATTCACATCACTCACATCATCACCTGTGCATGCACATGTCACATCCCCACACAGACACCAACACCACCACCGCCACAAGCAGCACACCCGCATATGCGTGTGCGTGCGCCGTGTACATCCACCACAAGTCACTCACCACCATCATCGTCATCGTCATGCGAGGCAACGGCACATCGACGTACATCACACCCTGTACGTGTGCGCGTGGAGAAAGAGGTAAGTTGGCACAGAATCAGGCTGTCAACGACAACAACATCCATTGCCAGCACCAACAGGCTCAACGACATCCAACCAGCGCTTCACAATCACACACATACATGCTGATGTTCACACCCAACACATCACACATGACCACCGCCACCGCCGCCATTCATCTCACCTCCACATCTACGGCCGCAGCCGCTGCTGTTGGTAACCAATGACGACGAAGACGATGAGGAGGAGGAGATGGACGAGAGACGGAAGAAGCCAGCTCATCCAAAATGCAGCCATACATCGGTTGTTGCTGTTGCTGCTGGTGGTGGAAACGGGGAAAACAAACGGCCCCTTGCCACGCCGTGTCCTTTGCTCGCTCGCTCGGCTGCTTGCTTGGTCGGTTGGATGGAGACGTGATGCATGGCCTTGTGTCCAAATCAATCGAAAAAAGGGGGAGAAGAACAAAAGACACATGAGTGAACAGAACAGACAAGGAAAGTGGGAGGCGAAGAAGGAAGCACAACATGTCAACCACACACACACACACATCTCAGTCGCCCTCTCACCTTCATCACTCGTCATCGTCATCGTCGTTGGTTCCACCGCTTCATGCGCCCCCTCAACGCTGTGAAATGTGTGTGCACAAACACAAGATGGGAGAGAATGCAAGGTGGTGAGGTTGACAGCGAAGCATCATCAACCACACGCCAGCCCATCCAACCACCCGCATTGACATACACATCCACACCCACTCACCATCACCACCTTGCACACACACGCACACACATTGCTCACCTCATCGTCAGAGCGACTGACATGTGCAATGTCTGCCTCATGACAGATTGGAGCTGGTGTCGGCCGGAGTGTGATGTCGGCTGTGCGGTCGATGGTGATGGTGGTGATGGTAACCGCCAAGCTGAGGTGGAAGAACGAAAAAGGAGAGAGAAATGGGAAAGGTGGATGATGATGCTGATGGGTCGTTCATGGCGGCTTCCTTGCCCTCTTCTGATGTGGCCCTGGTGCGCATGCAACCAACACACAACGACAAGACACAACGACATCATCACACACAACACACAGGTATGGCATGCGAGCACAGCAGACGTGTTCACCTTCCTGACCCTCCTCTGCTTTCCTCCTCCTCGCCCCACGATACCGCACACACACACACACACACACCTGCGCATAGCTGCGTCGCTGTTGTTGGATGTGCCCACCATGACCATGGACGTGCGTGCCCACAGCTGCTCCTCCCATTCCATCATGTGTGCACCACCCATCATCCTCAAACGATCCTCACACAGTCGCCGCTGCAGCCACAAACATACACACACATACTCATGGCATGTGAGCTGCACAGGTACACTGCTGCATGAAGCACAGCAGCGGCAACACCAAGCACCCACAGCAGCAACACCAACACATGCACCATGTGGCAACCAAAGCATGCATGATGGGCTCACCTTGCTCACATGTAGGAATACTGCATGAGCACAGCAGCGGCAGCCGAATCGGGGGAGTTGCAGCAGCAGCAGCCGGCATGCGAGCCCGCTTCCATCGACATCCTGATGTGTGCTGCTACCTCACCACCTGTGCGTGTGTGTGTGTGTGTGTGGTTGCAGGGAACGTGGTTGGGAACAGAACACAAACAAGCACAGAGCAGGCCATCATGTCAGCACAGCAGAACGAGTCAGTGACATCGCACGCACCACGTGTGTGTGTGTGCGTGTATGTGTGTGTGTGTGTGTCAGTGTGCGTGATCATGATCCCCCATGAACCCTTCTTCCCCTTGTTCGCTTCACCCCATCACCACACCCCCGTCCCCACACTCCATCACACAACCAACCAACCAACCACTCATCACCACCCACATACCATGTGTGAGGCGAGTGCAGCTGGCACGCGTAGCAAGTATCCTTGACATTTCCCTCATCCTGCTTGTGCGAGAACATCACCTACAAGTGTGGTTGTGTGCGAGCACCAGCATGGTGAGTGAGTGAGTGGGAAGGTAGGGGGCATGGATATGTGCGCAGCTACACCGCTGCTGCCACTGCTGCTAATGCTGTGCATGCATGCGTGTGAAGAAGAAGAAAGGGAAGAGAGAGAAAACAGAAAACAGAAGGGGGCGAACAAGACATGCTGCACCCCATCCATCCATCCATCCCTCTTCCTCACACCACACACCACCATCCTCTGTCACCAGCCACGCCACACCACACCACACCACACTCACCCAGCATCCCCCATCCCATCCATCCATCCATCCATCCAACACACATCCTCTCCGTTTTCCATCTTCTTCTCGCCCTCACCTCTGCTGCTGCTGCTTCCAACCGAAAATGCAACTTGTGCTGTCGCCACCTGTTCCCAGCTGCAAACAGCCAGCTTCCGCCAGCAGCAGTGCGATGGGTTGGTTGGTTGGCTGGTTGGTTGGTTGGAGGGATGTGTTCAGCAGCAAGTGATGCTGGCGCTGCTGCTGCTTGCTGGTGCATCGGCGGTGGAGGGGGTGTTGGCTGCTGCTGCTGTTGTTGTTGTTGTTGTGATGGCCGCCAGGGAGGGCGAGAAAGAGGGGGGAATATAAGCAGCGACTGCAAGGTGGAGAATGTGCAGGTGTGCAGGCAGTTGTGTGTGACAACGAAAAGTGAGAGCGCATCAAGCAAGGCAAAACAGGCAGCCGCACGACGCACATGCATGCACATTGATGTGGGCCAACAAGGGGAGACAGGAGCAACAAAGACAACGACCACAAAACACGCACACTGGTGTTGTGCGCAGCATACACACACATACGTGCAGTGGTGCACTCACGTTGCTCATCGCTTGCTTGCTTTGTGGTGTGTGTTGGTGTTGCTGCTTCCACAGCCGCACAGGCGTGGCTGGATGGTCATCGCATGGCAGCGCCGTCTGTTCATCCCACCAGAGCGGAGTTGGTTGGTGGAGGGGGAAGGGGTGACAGCTGCTGGCTCAAGGGCCCTATGTGTGGCGACAGCAGAAAGAAGGAAGGGGAAACGAGCACGTGTGGAGGGTGGTGATGATAGTGGTGTTGAGAGTGGGAATGGAAGGATGTGAGCAACGACACAAGAAAATGAGAGGTGGTGATGATGGCGTGTGAGTGGGTGGGTGAAGAGAACACACACATAGACACACACACACACACAAACACATACACACACACACACCTGTCTGGGTGATGCAGTGGTTTGATCACCATTCATCCGTCAGCATGTAGTCATTTGTTGGTTGGTGGGGGTCGCCCACTGCCTCACGCATCAGCCAGCACCTGCTGCTGCTGCTGCTGCTGCTGCTCCTGCTGATGATGGAATACATCCATCTGCACGCACCACCACAAACAAGCAAGCAACGGCAGCAGTGAGCAGAATGTCACAGACAGAAGGAGGAGAAAGGAGGAGGAGGATGAGAAGGAACGCAACCCCGTGCACACACACACACACACACACACATACATTGGCTGTGATGTTGGTTGATGTCATTTCCCCCACTGTCGTGTGTGTGCTGCTCACTGGTTGAGAGGAAGCATGATCCATTCTCAGGGTCGCCCACTGCATGACGGTGGCTGATGGCAGTTGTTCTGTCACCACACAACGGTGAGCAAGTGTGTGAGTGTGTGAGTGTGAGTGTGTATTTGTGAGCGCCACACGCAGTGGTGTGTTGGTTGTGATCCAACCACCCGTGTGAGGATTGATTGATGGTGGTCCACCTGTGTGTGTGTGCGTGGCTGTGTGTGCATGATGACAGCGTACGCTGTGTTGTTGTTGTTGATGGTGGGTGGTTGTTGCTGTGCGCAGTGTGCAGGGAGAAGAAGAAGAGGAGGAGAACTAAGTGGGAGGAAGAAGTGGGTGCACTCAATCTCACCCTCACCTGTCGATGGATGGGTCATTCATGTGGTCGTTGGTTGGTTCGTTGGTTGGTTGGTTGTGCGTGGTTCATCACAGGAGAAGGAAATGGACAACGATGGATGGATGGAAGGATGGATGGATGGAAGGAAGGAAGAAGGGGAGAGACGGTGCGCACACCCTCCCTGCACATGAATGTGTGCATGTGCGTGTGTGCGTGTGTGAATGCGTCAGCGACGACGATGGGAAGGAAGAAAGGAAGGAAGGAAGGAACGTGGCACGCACAACCACTAATGTGTGTGTGTGTGTGCAGGAACCAATGACACATTCCCACCTCACCTCCCACCTTGCCTCACCCCACCTCACGTCATCTCATCTCACCTGCCTGTCAGCGATGACGACGACCATGATCACCATCACCATTCCCACCACCATCACACACACACAGAGCTGCTGCGCAGAAGAAGAAGAATGAAGCAACGGCGAGTGGATGGGTTGGTTGGTTGGTTGGAATCGGTTGTTTGCTCGTTTCTTCTGCTTGCTTCTGCTGGTTTGCGTGCGATTTTTCTCTTCCTCTTCTTCTTGCTTGCTGCTTGCTGGCTCTGCCTTGATAAATTGCTTGTCTTGCTTAGGCGTCGGCAACGTTCATACCAACGGGATCACGCCCGCTCTCGTCCGATCGCGGAAGCTAAGCCCGTTTGGGCCCGTTCAGTATTGCCGTGGGTGACCAGGCGGGAATCACGGGTGATGTTGCTCTCTCCCTTTTTTTTTCTCTCTCCCATATGGGGTGCTGTCGCTGCTGTGGTTGCTGTTGCTGTGTTGCTGCTGTGGTGGTGTCTCTCCTTCACTTCCCTCTCCTCTTGGCTTGTTGCTTGGTTCGGTTTACTTCTTTTTCTTTGCTTGCTGACGTGCTTGCTTCCACTTCGTGGGGTGAAGAGGTGGTGGCGTGTGTTGGCTCATCTCTCTCTCTCTTGTTGCTTGACTGTAGCGTTGCTTTGCTTCACACACACACACACACACACACACACACACACACTGCTTGCCTGACATCGTGTCATCTCAACGCGTTTACTTCCATGTACTGACGCAGAGTAACCACAAACAGGTGGGCTGAACTATCGAACTAGTGACAAAGCTGATCTTGGCGGCGCTGTTAGACATCGTCCTTCTCCTCCTCCTCCTCCTCCTTCTCATCCTCTCCTCACCCTCATCGTCGTCGCAAACACATCACATGGGGGCATTATCCTTGGCCGCCTTTCGTCGGTGGGCGGGGGTGTTGCACCATACAGACTCCTGCATCACATCGTGTGGCGTCTCATTGGGCGTGTCGTACGCCAGCCCTTCCACTTGCATCTTCCCCCTGCGAGCATTTGCGTGTTTGTGCGCATGAAGGTGTTGGTGGTGGCAGCAAGATGTTATGTGAGGTGACCGCGCTGATTCGCACCCCTGCGCACGATCCCCTGCACACACACACACACACACACACACACACACACACACACACACACACACACACACACACACACACACACACACACCCTCACCTGCCAGGCGTTGTCGCCGCTGAACAGGTTGATCTTGGCAGACTCCAGCGCTGACAGCAGCAAATAGCACGGACATGACACACGAGTGGGCAGGTGGTGAGAGTGGTTGAATGGACACGCCAACAAGCGAGCAACGCACACACCACACCGTACTCACCACACTCACTCGACAACTCCCTGTGCCAATGACACGCTCCCTCACCTGTGTGCACTTGGATGGAGAGGGACTTGAAGAACTACTCAAACACAAACACAACGCGTCTCTGCATCATCTCCACCACCTCATCAGGGATCGACCGCAGGATCCTCGGAAGCTGAACGCAGTCTTGTGTGTGTGTGTGCGTGTGTGTGTGTGTGTGTGTGTGCGTGTGTGTGTGTGTGTGTGTGTGTGTGTGTGTGTGTGTGTGTGTGTGTGTGTGTGTGTGTAAGCGACGTGGCATACAAGCTTTGACCAAACACAATCCCCATCAAAACCCACATCACCCCTCACGCATCGCTTCACATGCCCATGTCACCGATCTGTCACCACACCTCGAGGAGCCTGTGCTCGGGAATGCGAATGCTGAACGTCTCCCAGTCGAGCAGGTCCTGGTAGAGCTGCAAGCGCGCAAAAAGCAAACGCCATAATATCACGTCACAGCACCGTGAGCGACGGGAGGGGCACATCCGCACAGTGATGTGACACACAAAACACACACACACACACACACGCACACACACACACACACACACACACACACACACACACACACACACACACACACCAAGTGGCATCCATCCATACGCACCAGCACGTTGTGGTCGACGACAATGACGGGGATGGCGCCCGCAGCCATGATCTATGAGGCATGAAAGTGGGTGACAGGAGATGGAAGGTGGGTAAGAGCACAAATAGGACCGAAATCGTCTGCAACACACACACACACACACACACACGCACACGCACACGCACACGCACACGCACACACACACACACCTGAAGGAGTGGTCGCCAAATCCTTCCACGATGGGCCCAAACTTGGTCTCCAGCGCCAGCTCTGTGTACGTGTACTGGTTGAACTCTTCCTCTGCCTGCTTGCACGACGGGTCATATCCAACCTTCCCCCTCACGACTCATGCGCTCTTCGCCAAACCATTGGCACGCGCACACCAACACAATGACTCTGCAACGTGCGCGCAAACACAGGCGATGTGTGTGTGTGTGTGTGTGTGCGTGAGGTGGAGCCAGACAGACACGCACACAGCACCAAAACCAGTGGACTCTGAGGCAAAACACGATACACACGCACGGAACACAAGAACACACAACACATTACACCGACACATCGCACGCACAGCACGACACACCTGCCATTGTGCAGCTTGGGGAGGTGGTTGCGCATGGCATCAAGAACGAGCAGACTTGGTGGTGCCCCTGTGCAACAGGGAAAGAAGACACACGTCAAGCAGCGGCACCACAACAGGTTTGGAGTTAGGTTGTAGCGGCACAAGAAGGGGGAGCGGTGGTGCAGTGAGCGACACCAACCCCTCAAAACCCAGCAGCAGCAGCAGTGAACATCGAACCCCACATCGCACCACGTCACAACACGCACGCATGCACGGACCTGAAGGTGACGAGGTATTTCTTGTTTGTGCGGGCGGAACGCGTCGCTGCTCCGG